CAACAACGCGATCAGCAACCCCCTACCCTCCGCTTTCCCTCCGTCCCTTGCTACGCTCACGCTCACCAACAACACCCAACTCACCGGTGCAGTCTCCTCCGGCGCGTCCTTCTGCGGGCTCTCCGGCCTCCAGACATGCGACGTGCGCGGGACAGGCCTCAGTGCTCAGGGCGCGTGTGGATCGTGTCAGTTCAACTGAACACGATTCAGTTCGCCAAGGACACTCGCTTCCCATGGAGCTCTCAAGCACCTTCGACGTTATTTGCGCGCGCCGCCGCGCCCTTCACCCCACCACTCTCGTTTGTTCCATTAGTTCGACCACCGCTCACGCGCATGACCGCCACGACGCTCCTTCCGCACTGTAGCCCTACTCTCCTTCCGACTCTGTCAGTGTTATGTGTCGACCTCCCGCTCTCGACCCCCATCATTCGTTCGGACTGTACCTGCTTATTTCCGTATCCCGTTCGTGCTAGAACACGCCATGTAGCAAATAGCATCTGTATTCCTATACGTCTCTTGTCGGCTTAGTACTTGTACTTGAATCATGGTGTAATTGCCCGCTGGATATGACGTGCTCGGGGGCGGACGTGCACAAGCTTGCGATCAGTGACGGCGGCAAGGTTTTCTGGAACTGGGAGGGTCCCCTTCGAAGCGACCATACATATAATACGCAATTGCCAACCTCGTAGATCTTGGACCTTGATTCCTCCCATCACCACAGCCGTCTTGCCCCTCTATGTTCGCCAGCTAGCCGACCATTGGTTAAATCAGACAGCGGCTGCTTATGTCGTGGTCACTCGGATCTCCGACTGGCCGGCTGTACACCTGGAACACATGTAGTGCGCATATATGCGGGTAAGCATGGCTCTTTCGACCAGCCCAACGTGCACTCATGCGACGTGGGCTGATATGTTTTCAAGGACTTCGCAATGCGCGTAGCGGTACGCAGGTACATGTTCGACCACCCCTCGTCGCAAGCTGCCCCTGGACGAGCATCAAACTAGCGGAATATTAAGCCACAGGAACCGTGCGCGCGTGGAACGTATACCTCGGCCCTGGACCATTCATGACGACCGTATGCCGGCGGCGTCCGTGACTGACTAACACCGTCGTCGTCGGAGTACTGGAGCGCACGTTCCCAACAGGATCGACAGGACCACGCTGCAGAGGTTAAAAATACAGGACCATTGCGAGCCCGGTAAGCCGTGGTGTTGCGATGCGTTCTCGCGAAACTGCCCATACTCACAGTTCGCAGGACCACGAACGACACACTTCGAAGGACATGCAAACATATATGGTCCTTGACATATGTGGAGAGTTGTTTCCAGCCTACAGGCGACGAGCTACCTGCCGCCACCCGTCTAAAATCCGCATCAGCGTATCGGATTCCCAAGCCCTGCTCACATGGCCGCGAAAGAACGCGGTCACGTCGTTTTCGGCGTTCGGCCTTCCCTGGTGCTGCCAAATACCACAGCGTCTAGACTCGAGCACGTTCGACTGTCCTCGTTCTAACATGAGCGCGCCCGGATCCACTGCAGCTGGCAAACGTTCAAGGAGGTGCAACACCAATATCCGCCGCGGCGCCGAGTCAAACCTCCATTCCAACTCCGCCACCAAGACCGATACCGACGATAGCTGCAACTTAGTACGCGGTGCTAAGTTTGCCCTGTGCTCCGCTGTCACATCCATCGAGGCGGAGTGAGAGCGATAGGCCTGGTGCCACGCGGGCCCCATGCGCGTCCTGATACCGCGCATCAGGCTGCACAATGCGAGTGGTGATATCAATCCCTGCCGTACGCACCCCCTGCCATCGCCGAGCGCCTGCGCGAAACCGACGTTGCGGACGCGCGATATAAAGCGGACGACGCGCGCAGATCGTGCGCGCGTTCGCCCCTCCCCCGCCCCGCCTCGACGAACAGTATGCAGCTCAGCTCGTTGCTCGCGCTTGCGCTCGCGGCCGTCGCGGCCCGCGCGTGCCCGGACGAGGACCACGACCACGCGCACGCGCACTCGCACGAAAACTCGCGGCGCGCGTTCCCGCAGACGCACCTCACCCCGCCCTCGCGCCCGCTCGAGTGGGGCGACGTGAACATCATCCACACCACGGACAGCCATGGCTGGCTGCTCGGGCACCAAAAGTCGTCCTTCCCGGAGCCCAACTATAGGTGCGTCACGCGGGGCCGGCGCGGTGCGGGGAAGGGCTGAAGGGCGGTTCGCAGCGGAGACTTCGGGGACTTCGCGTCCTTCGTTGCGCATATGAAGCAGATCGCCGAGGTGCGTGTGCGGTCCGCGGTGGGCGCGTGATGCGCGCTGAAGCCATTGTGGATTTGGTAGGAGAAGGACGTGGACTTGCTCTTGGTTGATTCGGGAGACCTGCACGATGGTACGCGCCGTGATTCGCGCTCTGCGGTGACCGGGAGTTGATCATATCATAGGTACCGGTCTCTCTGACGGGTTCCCTCCCGGCGGAGTTGACGCGCATGAGGTATGGATTCACACACGATGCGTTCCCCCATGGCCTCATTCCCTCGCAGAGCAACAAGTTCATCTTGGACCTCCCGTATGATGTCATGGCCATCGGAAACCACGAGCTGTACATCTATGCGAACACGCTGGACATGTACAAGAACTTCGCGCCCAAGCGCAACGGGCGCTATCTTTCGTCCAATGTGAATATCACCGTGCTCAACGAGCACGGGGAGGTCGTCAGCGTTCCCGTTGGACAACGCTTCGCCAAGTTCAAGACGCGCAAGTACGTCCGGCCCGTGCTGCTTGTGTGCGCCTAACTCACGCAGAACGCGGCAGGGGTCGTAAAGTGACGAGCTTGGGAGTCTTGTTCGACTTCACCGGCAACGACGTGAACACGACCGTGCAGAAGGTCGAGGACATGGTCAAGGAGCGCTGGGTTCGTTCTTCCTGGTTCGCGCTGCCATCATGGATCGTCCCTTCTGACAGCGCGGATCGTCATTGATAGTTCATAGACGCGATCAAGGACGAGCCCGACTTCTTCCTCCTCGCAGGGTAGGTCCACAGCATGCTACAGTCTTCTCGTAACCTTGTCTGACTTTTTACTCCCAGGCATATGCCTGTCCGTCAGGACAACTGTACGAATGCTTCTGCGCTGAAAGGGGATGTTTATTGATGCACAGCACAGGGCCGACCGTCTTTAACGCCGTGCGTGCGGTGCACCCCGAGACGCCGATTATGATTTTGGGAGGTCCGAGCCTCTGCTGCTCCAGTTTTAGTGCCGATACTAACCATTGTCATGTTGTGCAGGTCACACTCACATTCGTGACTGTCGTGAGTGAAATTTGGCCATTCGAAGGTGATTAGTACTAAATAATGGATAGTGCAATTGGACGGTCGCTCAATCGCCCTCGAGAGCGGTCGGTACATGGAGACTGTTGGTGAGTTGATGATATTCCTGTTCAGTTTGTATCATATTGATTGATAATGTATTCTCAGGTTGGCTGAGTGAGTCTCGGTCACAACGGGTATCGTGCACGGCATGACTGATACACTATATGCTAGGCGCGAAGCTTGAGCAGCCTCAAGGTCACTCGCACGGGTCGCCCAAGAACATCACATTCACGCGTCGCTACCTTGACCCCAACCGTGTCACGTACGAGGTGAGACAATATTCCTCGCCGCATTACTACTCCCGCTTACTTTATCACGTCCAGTACCACACCCGCCGCAGCAACTTCTCCTTCGACACGTTCGACGGCTCGCGCATCACCAAGGGCCTCCTCGACCTCGCGAAACGCTTCGACCTGAGCGCGCTCTTCGGCACCGCGCCGCAGGACTACACGATCAGCCAGGCGCCCTTCCCGTCGAACGGCTCGCTGCTCTCGCTCTTCGCCGCGGAGGCGATGCCGTACTCGCTCACGCTCAACAACACGCGCGCGGCCGTGCCGAACATCATGATCACGAACTCGGGCTCGCAGCGCTTCGACCTCTACGCGGGCCCGTTCTCGAAGAACGACCAGCTCACCGCGTCGCCCTTCGCGGACTCGTTCCTCTACATCGCGGACGTGCCGTTCGCGGTCGCGAACCAGGTCCTGCCCGCGCTGAACAACGCGGGCGCGAACGAGCGCCGCTCGCTCGCGGAGAGCGAGGAGGAGCTGTATGCGCGCGGGGAGGTCGAGATGCGCTACATGCACTGGCTCGAGGAGATGGATCGCCGCAGCCACGGCGCGGAGCGCAGGGCGGCGCAGAACGCCACGCTGGGATACGTCACGCACGATGTACGTTCCACGTTCCCGCAACACCGCCTTTCTCTGCGAACGTTCATTGACGCACGCATGCTTGTAGGACTGCCCTGGTGTCGGCGACGACACTCTGCACGCGCCTCTCGTAAGTGCCCCCACCTCAATCATGCTGTGGGTGTCCTTGCTCACACACGCTCCCGCAGCCCTTCTTCTCCTCGCCCGACTTCATCGGCTCGACCCCGCCGAACGTGACGGACGACACGCCCGTCGACCTCGTCTTCGTCGACTTCATCGAGACGCAGCTGATCCAGACCGTCAACAGCCTGCAGACGGCCAAGACGTACACGACCGCGGACGTGAAGTCGTACACCGACGTTCTCTCGAACGCCGTGCTCGGCCTGTACGCGGAGAAGTTCTGGAACTGAGCGGGCGTGGGGTTGTGTGGTGGTGTGTGTAATGATGTACTTTAATACCCGTGTAACAGGTGGGGAAATATGGAGACTACGTTATCCCCTGTCTACGTTGTGCAGGATGGGTCTGCCCTCTGGCCATTGGATGTGATTGAGTGTTCTGCTCAGGTATCCCTGTCATTAACAACATTAAGTCGTCCACTCGCATGACTAGTCTTCGTATGTCATGCGCTTTCGTTATTACGTGCTGTGTGGATCTAACCTTCCGTAATTAACTTCCAACAGGCCCATGTAAGTACTAGGCAGTAAGTGGCTCCTGGAAGTACTAGCAGAGACTCGGCAGCATCTATAAACCCCAGCTATGCGAAAATAAAACATATGGACATGTCCGGGATTGAACCGGACCCCTCTCGCAGGCCTGCACAATGGTCTATGCTAAGCGAGCGTGATAACCAACTACACCACATGCCCTTGAGTATTTTATTATTTGAGCACAACTCGGCCGGGGAGGCGCTCAAAAAGCCATAAACGTATGTGTGAACTTGAATGTCCAGATGAGTATTTATCAGTGTCAGACTGCTTCAACAAAGCTTAGTACGACACTGAGAGCTAGGGAGGTGCCACGCTCTCCCCTGCACCGCCTGGCCCTCCGGAGCTCCAAGTGCAGAGCCTACGGGCGGCGACGCACAGGAAAAGCTGCTTCAATACTGGGGCGACCTTGCATGCAGGGTAGGAACCTTACCGCAGTGTGTACGCTTCACACGGAACTGAGGTGTTCACAGGTAGGTTTGACAATAAATAGAGATAGCTACTCTAGCAGGGTATCGTAGATGCTAAATCGTGAGTTCGAGCTCGTAAGACGCTGCTGAACAAGGACCAAGTGCTCGCCGCCAGTACGCCTCTGTACACATCTTATAAGCCTGGTGGTCTGCGGGTGTAGAATAAAGAATCTGTACTTGCCGCTCATGGTGAATCACCGAGCAGGATGCGCCACATCTCTGTTGTCGCTCACTCACTGGCAGCAGGCTCGGCCTCGTCCTGATAATAGTATTCGGGTCAGCGATTCTGTCTCGCAGGGGATATATCACATCCAAACAGTACTCACAGCTGCGCCGTCGTCCGCGATGAGGCAAATGCGGCAGAAACGCTTGTCGGCGGGCACCTGGTAGCGAGCGAGGGTTAGTCTACAGGATCCCGGCGTCTCAGTGCAAAAATACACTTACAGAGAGCGACGCATCGAGTGGTGACAAAGCCGGGGTAGGCGCGGCATACGCGACGGAGAGGGCTAGTGAACAATATACAGTCAGTTCGTTGTGGTTGAAATAGAGCGACGGAAGACACGTACTGCTGACGAGCAACGCGGTCAGCGCGAACGCACGGGTGATGAAGGACGTGGCAACCATGTCGACGGATAGTTGGGCGGGTTTGAGGTAAAGGAGGGTGGGGATGCGTGTACGCTCAAAGGTTGAGGTAGAAAATAGGGACTGAGAGAGGGACTGAGAGAACGAAGAGGTTTTGTCGGAGGAGTTGTCTGTCTCTTCCTCTCCCTCCCGGTCCTTCTTAAATACCCGCACGTTCTTGAACGAACCGACGCGTCTGGGGCTGGGATTACTGCCGTGAACTATCCGCCCGCCGCCGAGAGATCACTGAGCGAGATCCCCGAGAGCACCGATTCGTTGGAAAAACAGTGAACACGAGCGGGCGCGCTGTGGTGTCGAGATGCCATGACTTAAACACAGGGCCACGACAGTGGCTCCGGACCGTACTCGCAGGCAGTCACAACCGTTCTGCCATTGCTATGAGCTCAGATCATAGAGGTCAACTCACGCCCAATTACGGACGCAATTCACATTCAAGCTGCTGGTTTAGCGGCTCACGACTACAACCGCGTTGCGAATACAGTCCAATACACCATGTTCGGACGGCCCATTCGGTATGCACCGTCAGTGCACTCGCAGAGCAGCGCATACACTACAGACCCGGACACAGGAACCCACAAGCGGACAGTGATCATCGTGCCGGGGAGAGACAGTGATACGCAACCTGATTGTCGAGCGGCGGTTCACCCGGCATGATAGAAAAAGTAGGGGTGCTCAATTCTGGCCGGCCACGGACACGGGCCACGCTGGACACGCAAAAGCTCGTTTGATGGCGAGGTGTGCGTCAAATCCCGAGTGCAATAAATCTGTTTATTCCTAGAAGTTCTATCGCACGCTGTGTCGGGGTTCGAAGGTACATGGGCCTACTACTGCTCAAGGGGACTTCGCGTTTGGACGTTGTGGGATACTCGACCGCTCGCTTGATGTCCGGTGGACTTTCGTTTGCTTTTTCATAGCTATAGCTAGTCTGTGTGACGCTGAAACAGGTGCCGCGAGCTCACATAGTCCTGTTTACCCACTGCGCGCGTCGCTGGTACACTTAGGCGGACTCTCAATATTTCCCGTTCTCAACAAACCCCAACAACCGCGTTTCACGCAGCAAACGATGTCGCTTAGCACGAAAACTCTCATCAAACTCTCTTTTGCGTGTCCAGCGTGGCCCGTGTCCGTGGCCGGCCAGAATTGAGCACCCCGCGACCTTGCAACGCAAGTCTCTGCGAACCTGAGCAGATCTACGTAAAACGCATCCCCGCATCACCGCCCACTGCTGGCACTGGCAGCTGCTGGTGTTCCAGCATCATATGCACTGACGCAATTCGTGATCAGGACGCGGACGAGAGTGCTCGGAAGTGCGATGCCCAGCCGTGTTCGACTCAGGAGAGGACATCCACAGAAGGTGGCTAATCCCCTGCCTCCAACCACTCAGTAGTTGGAAACAGAGCGATAGCTACCTCCAGCACAGACGAGTCAACCAGAAAAAACGACTCGGACGAACCTGATTGACAGCTCTGTAGTAGACTGTACAGTAGAATTCGTCCTCCATCCGCTCAAAGATTTGCCGATAGCCTGACGGAGTGATGCATCATGCAAGATCATGCATCGCTAGAAGCCGCTCGTGATCAGCTCCACTTCAAAAGAGCCGTCTAGACGGTCTAGTACCTACGGCAGAGCAGCCACCCCTTGTATCTGGTGTTGATGGTAGTGACGATACACTCGAGGCGGTGATCAAAAGGGTGCCCTACTGAAGGACCCCCGACATTTCTGGCGTATGCCTGAGCCCTGATCCGGACAAAATTTGGATTTCAGGAGGCCCTATGCCTGAGATAATCCGGACATTTGGGCCTCATTTGGCCCGGAGGCCACATGTGATCATCCGGACATTGTTCCCGCTCCCAGGTCGACGCCTCATACCAGGATGTCCGGGCTCGGTCCAGGAAGACGCTGGTGAAAGCGCCCAGCAAGGAGGGGGACTGATGTCACCGCTGACTGTATCACTCTACTTACTATATTGTACCGATGCTTTAGCTGAGTGATCAATCGATCAATTGCAGGCTAATGATGAGTTGTTAAAGCTGGTTTGTATGATTAGTGTTACAGGTCTCGAAGCGCCGACAGGCCAACCCTATCATAGGGTTGCACTTCATCTGGGTCTTCGCCGGAAGCCCGTGTCTCGAGGTTACTCGCGTGTAGTTTAAACAACGGTTTTATTACACACGTTGTGCTCTATGACATCCATGCATGGAGCAAAGTCGAATGCATTTTTTTTGAACGTTTTACTGAAGGAAAGTCAAAATTCGCACAATTTTAGAGGCCTGATACCCGAATCCGGACAAAATTGGTCACCGAACATGCCTCAGGTGTAATCCGGACATGGCGCCGCGATTTGCGCCAATGCCTCATATAATCCGGACAAAAGTAGCCTTTTTGTATGCCTGATACCCCGGACAGACATTGGCAAATTTCGGGACGGGGTATCAGGCATTTTAGGCGAATGTCGGGGGTCCTCCTACTGACGAGCCGTGCTGCGGATCTTCAGGAACCTGCGAACAAACGGCTTGGTTTGTCGCAGATATATTGTGGCTTGTGTGAGTCCGGGGTCATGACTTATGACCGTGAAGCGAAGCTTCTTGATGTTGCAGGCCGCCGGGTTCATCACATCAGGACGAGCCTGGGTAAACAGTAAGTACCGTCGTTGAGGTCTGAGGTGGGGGCCAGGTATGTGAGCAGCCTAGTGACATCGAAGAGGCCCTGTTCAGTGTTCATGTGCTTGTACTTAGAGGAGGTTTCGAAGGAATGGTCGCACTCATGGCAGGAGTTACGGGGGTTAAGTAAGTAAGTACGAACCGTTGAAGGAGCTGCCATGTGTAGTTGGTCTTTGGGCGTTAACGTTAAAGTACTAGATATAGCAAGCGCACAATCTTATCTGTTCCGGCATGACATGATCTGATCTGTCTTTCCTCGACGCCGTGCGTTGTTGCCAGTCCTTCTGCAGGACTCGGACGCAGCGCACAGCATGCAAGGATAAGAAGGTGTGGTCAGCCAGATCTTGCACAAAACGAATTGAATTCTAACAATACTGCCCAGCTAAAAATACAATGACGAGGACTAACTGATGACAGCGCTGACAGACAACTATAAGGATGTATTACTGCGCGAGCAGGCGGAGTCCGGGCGGACAGCGACGGGCGGAGATGAGGTGGCGCGGAAATATCCAGGGGGGAGCGAAAACAAGGGAGCAGGGAACGCAACGAGGAGGGAAACCGATAGTGATGTGAGATCCGGAGGGAGACGAGAGAACAAAGATGGACGCATGCGTTATGTATGGGTCCGGTGGTGTACACTCAGGCGTGTGAGCCGTGAGGAAAGTGATAGCGCAAGGGGAGGATGGTAATGAATGTGGGTTGCGCAGCTCAACCCGGAGACCTGCGTGTTGCGGGGTGATTTTGTGCGCACCAGCGCGTGGATGCAACACGCAGGGCGGGAGAGCGCGTGGTCGGGGAAGTGGTACATATGGGAGAGATAACTGGATGTGGCAACGATTGTGGGAGTGGTGGGAGCGACCCGCTCCTGGAGGGAACAGGATGTTCAGGGAGGTTTATATCTGCGCGGAGGCATTACGCCTAGATGTATATGTCAGCTACAGCACGTGGAATAGATGTAAGGAGGGACACTCACTTCCGTACTCGGTATGGTACTGAAGCCTACGACCTCCACCGCCGGAGCTGCTGCCTCTGCGACAGCTTCGAGGGCTTCCGTAAGCGCATCCGTACTCGTCGTATCGACAGCGGCGGGTACGACCGCGTCAACCGTGGTACTCGTGGTCGATGCCGGCTGCTGTATGGAGGAGGCGGCTGATTGCAGGGCGGAAATGAGGAGGTCTATGACTTGGAGGGCGGAGGAGGTTGTGGTAGCAGCGGTGGTGTCGGAGGTGGTCGACTAACGGGTTCATAGTTGATTAGACCGAAATACATGAGCTACGAACAGTGGACTTACGTCGCTGCTGGTCGCGTCGGGGAGGGCGTACAAGCAACCCATCTTGGCGCAGCTGCGGGAAAGAATGCCGGATCCCGACGCAGACACCGCGGAGGGAAT